ATCTTTTGCACAACCAAAGAGGCAGGGGGCAGTGGGTCGCCACCCCGGTAGTAAATCATAATTTTAGTGAAGCATACTCTGTGAGAGTTAAGTGGGGGTGGGGGCACGAGAAAATAAGATGCATTGGAGAAAATTTTACGGCGCGTTGAGAGAGGAATGGGGTGAAGTAGTATTAAGAGGGCGGGACCCAAAGAAGGACCGTGGGGTTTACGACCAGAGGACAACGGCTTTAAGGCACTCCCGTACTTCCGTGCTCCAGAAAGGAAGCTAGCCTGATCATCCACAAACGCGCACGCAATCAAAGGGAATAGATGTCGGCAGTCAGTATTCCCGGGGTAAAAATCCACAGCAACTATATTCGTGTTTCTACTCAAATTCACGTGAATCGGTCGCGTGATGTCCCAGTTCACCCAAAATTGGAAATTAGTATGCCTGATTAAGACGAAACCGGACGAAACGCGCCCGGTAAGAAATGGAAACTGGGGCAATAATAAGACACGTTGAAAACTATTCCTTGATGTAAAAGGACCATCGGAAGGATTCAAAGACCTATGCGTTTTTCCTACCCCGGACGATAGTCTTTCGAAAACAAGGAACAATTTTTTCGTGTAATTGCACCCGGCCAGAGGCCGAAACCCGTCCGCAACTCCGGGTTGAACGGAACGGAAACGAGCCTACTTTGCAAGATACGCCGTGCGCAGACACTGCAGTCGACATTTTGTAGTCAAAACGTCATTACCACATTGCACTGCTGTGCGCCATCCGTTCGAATTGGCAAATGGCAACATACTGCTAGGAAATCCTCGAAGAGAGCCCCCCTTTTCATTCGACGAAGAATACCGTCAACGAGGGGCCGTCGCTAATTCAATGCAAGTCAAAGTCGCCTCACTCGGCGCTCCGCTTGGCGCGGGTCTGAAAGATTTGAGTGGCTCGTTAACGGCGTCGTAAAGCGGCGTGCGGGTGTGTCGCGCAGCGACAGCCGGCGACAGCGAGCGCAGGAGCGCAGCCCTCGCAGCCACTCAGCGGGCAAGCTCAGTTTTGGATCCAGCCTTTCAATGGAGCTTTAAATGTTGCAGCCAGATAGGAACCAGTGACGGACAAAAGGAAGGGGGGGGGCAGGAGGACGCTTGCCCTGCGTTAGCCAATAGAGTAGGTTCGAATTCTGGCGCGCAAGTAAAGCGGGTGGCAACCCTGCCCGCTGCAGTTGGCAGCAATCTCGCAGGCGCCAAGCTCCGCGGTGGATCCATTTCGCGGTAGAGACGCAGAAAAAAACTGTCTCCAGGTGCCCCACCGTCTCCTACTTGTCACTTTAGCATTTTAAATTACCTACTATTTGAGGCCTGTCCAACGCCTGGTAGGTAGGCAACATCTTGCCAGTAGTGCATGCGTGTACTGCAGCGTAGCCTACCTCCAGTCTCACAGGCGCCAAGCTCCACGGCGGATCCATTTTAGGGGTAGAGACGCAGCAAAGAATCCGTCTCCATGTGCCCCACCGCCCACCGTCACCTACTTGGAAATTTGCCATTTTAAATAAATAATCCTTTTACAAGACACACCATCGAAAAAGTGTCTGAAATCCGGAGGTGTTTCTCACAGTGAAAGCAGGAGCAAGAACCTATGATTCTCGCATCATATCTCTTTCTTGTGAACCGCATGGGCCTTTGGCATCTATGAGGAATGAAAGGAAACTATGAGCCTCAGAAATTCGTCCGGTCACATGCCGTTCGTTCGTCTCCGATTGTCAGAAACCCGTACTTTCGTACCATCCCCAAGTCAAGAATAGGAGGTGAGATGTGGTTTATGGTTTCCTCTAACGACGTAGCTCGGATGGGCAAGTCGGTCCAAACTAGCGAGGCGGGAGGTAAGGACGGTAGTTCTGTTTGTTCCCGCCTGATCCCGCTGCCGCCGCTACTGCCGCTGATGAATTGGAAATCATCCGCATTCACTATACCCGACCAGGGCAGCACAATTATAACCAATTTATTGCTGCACAAGGGCCTCGAAGAGAATCAAATTATGATGTACGCGGAGAATGTGGAGCAGAAACGAGAGCTGAGTTATGCCCCTTTCGGCCTGCCGTCCTGTTCCTCCGCGTCGTCTGCTTTCGGCTCTCTCTCTCTCTCTCTCTCTCTCTCTCTCTCTCTCTCATTTCAGGGCGCGCGGCGGCGGTACCACCAGTGCAATTGCGAGTCCACAATGTCAGTCCGTGTTCCTTGAGTTATCACAGCCCGGCCGGATATGCGCGGCGGGCGCAGGCGTACGCGCGCGCCGGCTGATCGATTCTAAATCGATTCATCGATTCTTAATCCAAGCAGCAGCAGCAGCGGCCGGAGCCGAACGATCAACTTACGGCGCGATCATAAAGTGGGACCCGCGAGTTGTTTATGGGCAATCGCGACTCAGGCGGCCTACTAGGGGAACACCCTCGTTAATCAGGGGGCTGTTGCTGCGCGTAATTAGGAGCCGACATTGTATTGGCGCTCGCTGGCCGTGCGATGCACACGTGGATGTGCATCACACATCACTTCTGCCGCATAGAGACAGTGAACCGAAATGACACCCCTATGGTATCTGCACTAATGTAAATTCAATAATTGTAAAGATAAGAGGCGTGGTTAGGAGAAGATATCGGGCGAGTGGTCGTCAACTCTCATTGACCACGACCACGCTGTAACGAAAGAACATTGCGAACGTATTGTTGGTAGTATCAGAAATATTGAAGTAATATGTACACTCTCAGACCTGCACTGGTTTATTTATTAGTAGTTTATAAAAGGTTTTTATGCACCAGGATTACTGACTAATTTGTTACTTATTCTGTATATTGTTGTAAGTAACTCACAGATAAAAGAAAAAAATGTCTGTGATTAAAAACAAAATAATTTCGTATAACTGATGAAAACAGTTGTCAGTAGCTCATAAAGGTTTTTACGCAGCAGAAATAAGGACAAAGGGTGAAAAAAATCAGTAACACGATGAGAGTGTATTTGCTCTCAGCCTGTTAACTGAAACTATGCAATAGACAACGAACTCGTAAACGCAGCGCAGCAATCATTAGCTAAACTGCACACACTAACTGGATTTGTATTTTCTATTTAAACGAAACGTTATCATTAATAATCTTAACAATTTTGTAGGGAACCCTTGATCAGTCCGGAATTTAAAGGAATATTCCGTTGACCAACCCTCGCTCCACCCAACTATTTTCAAAAAAACTATGCAAGCACAGGTTTCAGTATGCATGTTGTTGTTCTTTTTAATGTCATAAAATTGGACTTAATGCCACTGTTTTAAACAAATCGAAAACAAATCCATCCCTAGCCCCGATAGGGTTTAAGTTAAAGCACATCTGACAAATCTCGAGTTGCGTTGGTAATGTATTCCTCTAAATGTTTAAAAAATTTGCGGCCTCCTCGGCGTACGCCTTCACGTACAACATGGTGGTTGTACTTATTGGCTTATATTCGTCGAAAATCCCCTTCAGTGCCTTAATGGTGACATAAATTTCGACGGACGAAATATTTCCCACGTGCATTCCGTCATTTATCAACTTATTGGGCTCAATTTTAAAAGAGGAACTTTCTATTGCCACAAAACAGGCAACATTGTGTATGTACTAAACAAGGCAGAGAGATAAGTCATCATATTGAAGTTTTTCACATTATACTGACATTCTATTGACAAATTTTTAAATCTGGAAATAACAATCACACCTCAGCCCCGAGGGAGCCACCACTTCGATTCAGGATGTACCCAGAACAGGATTACGTGATCACAGGGATTACACATGAATTTTGAGGGATCGCACATGAATTTTGTTGAATTTCTTGGGCTAAAACGATTCAATTTGGATACTTAGCTGAAATTTAGTGATAATTATTCAAAGTTTGGTTAAGTATTATACGGATTACATCAGGGATTACACTTCCGTGGCCGTGGCCCCCTCGATCAGCCCCGCGCCGGTCCCGGTGCAACGCACTCGAAGAACAGAATGACGCGTCGTTGGGTGCTATAGTTAGTCTGCACCTCGGTCTGCACACGTGCAGAGAGGGGGAGAGAGGAAGGGGGTTCAGGAGGAAAGCATTTAAGAGAAAGGACCTTAACTGAGTCGTAAAGTGAAGTGAAGAGCCATGACCAAACGGCAAGATCCTGGCAGCGCCGACAGGCAAAAACGCGCGGGCCAAGCAGTGTATGAGGCTAGCGGCATGGCTGCGCCATCTAGTGGCAGGAGAGGAGACTCGACTCCTCGACTCAGGCATTCCCGCGCAGGACTCTCGCGACTGGGGTAGAGAGAGAATAGGGGGGGGGGTGTCAGGGGGTATCGCGGTGGGGCGTGGAGTATCGCCGCGACGGGATTACTTCATTTCGCCCGCCTAGGGATTAGAAAAGCAGAGTGGGACACGGAAGACGCGTTCGACCGAAAGCATGCATCAAGCAGTTGGTTCCGCTAAATTGGACGGCACAAAATTGTCTAGTAAACCAGAGCTTTTGAAACCATTCCGGAGAAACATTAGCAAGTTGCTACAAAAACATTTCAGTTTGTTCCCGCTTTTCTTTTTCCAGCGCCGTTTCGACAGGGCCAGCGGCGAGTGCCAGGAAACTGCGATTAAAACGCTCGGTAGATACCCGCACGCTAGAGTCGAATGTAGGCCACAGGAGCAAGAGAAGCATACGCGCACGCGACGACGCGAGCGCGCTCCCGCAGTCTCACGGTTTTAATCTTGTCTTGTGCGCCCTTTCGCGGCACGGAAAATTACCGAGTCGTCCGACGGAGTCGAGGCGAAACTAGGAATCCTCGACTCACGCATATCGTAACAGTGTCCGCTAAAGAGAGGCGCTCAGAACCTCGCACGTCCCACGCACGCCTTTCTAAGGCTGACTTTCCACCTCGGTCGTTGAAAGAAGTTAAAACGCGAATGCAGCGACAAAACAACAAACCTGACACAATCTCAACTCCGAACTACACGATCCGGTCCCATTCGACTCACCACTCGGGTCCGTCCGTGGTCCGTCGGGGTTCGTCGTCTGCTCTCGGCTCGGGCTCGGGCTCTGATGTCGAAGGTGGGAGAGGGTGGAAGGGGGTACCGAGGGGACAGGGGTGGTGAAGGGGAGGGGCGTACACGTAGGGCGTACGGCCTGGTGCTGACACAAACTTCAAAAGAAGCCAAGCCGCTGTCTGCGCTGTCCGCCTTGCCTGCCCTGCCCGCCTCTCTCCTGTGTCTGTGTGGCTTCTGACGCTGGCTCTGGCTGGCTTTTGGCTGGCCGACCCGGCAGCGGACGGCTCGCCCCAGCCCGGCTGCCAGCCAGGCCGGCGGCCGGCGGCAAAGCCAAGCCGCAAGCGGCGCGCGGCACGGCGGAAGTTTAGTTCTCGCATCGCTCTCGCTCGGACAGGACGCTCGTCACATCGGTGCGTGACTGTCACAGTCCAGCCGGTCACTAACGGCGCTCTCCGCCTCGTTCGGAGCGTGACAGCCACAACGCCGCCACCTGACGCGTGTCACGGCCGTGAAAGACAACCCTGGTCACCCCCTTGCCGCGCAAAGTGTGCATCTGTTGCAGTTTGTTGCGCGACCCCCTTTGAAACCTAACCTCCAAACGGGAACACAAAAAGTAGAGGGGAAACCGTGAACCTCTCAAAAGCCAAACATGCCAACCGTGTCCAACCACGACGTGCTGGGCACGCTCTCGTGGGGCACCGGCGGCAACGCGCGCCACTTCACCCGGGACCCGTTCGGCGAGCCCCTCGGGGGTCGGAGCGACGCCCGGGACGGCATCAACTCGCTCCTCTTCGGGGACAGCCAGAGCGGTGGCGGCCGCGGCGCGGGGCCGTGCGGGCCGGGGCAGCCGGTGCAGGCCGAGCACGCGTACGCCTCGGCACAGGGCGTGCAGCAGGTGCAGCCGCAGCTCGGCAGCTTCGTGTCCCAGAACGGGTACTACGGCTACCAGCAGCCGCACGCCGGGCACACCGAGCAGGGCCTCGCCCTCGCCGCACACGCGGATTGCTCAATGGACACCAGTGAAAATAACCTGCCGGGCCATGCCGCTGGCGCGCACCCAAGCTGCGGCGGGTTCGGCGGCCCCTGGCAGGCCGACCCCCGGTCCGGCCCCGGCGCCGATCCGATCAATAGGATTCAAAGGAAGAGGAACCTGTCCGCGAGGGGGATGGGGCTCGAGGCGACGGCCGCGCTCGCCGCCCACGACGACCACGGCGCCTGCAAGCGCACCAGGCCCTCGCCCTTCGGCGAGCACAACCAGCACCACACAGGTAACTATCCGGAGCAGCTGCCGTTTACACCTCTAGCTCCTCTAGCTGTCTGAACAGCTGTTGCTTTACAGGGGGAGGACATGGTTTGGGTCTGTTTAAATGGCACAGCAGTAGTACCAACCTTCTAGCGGGGGTCATGGAGGGTGGGGCGGTGTGGTGGGAGATGGTATGAGGTAGTTGCCCAGTGTGGCGGAGCGTAGCGGGGAACCAAAACAAAGCAGAAAGCAACAAAAGAAAACTACGCGATACATCCAGAAAGCAATATTTGACAAGGTTTCAATCAATGTGCAGCCTTTATATACACCTATGCATTCACATAGCACTTCGAGAAAAGAACTTAATCCGCGATATAAAGCATTCCTTCGCGTAGGTTATGGTGCTTTGTTTTGTTTCCCGCTACGCTCCGCCACACTGGGCAACTACCTCATTGAAAGGGTTGAGGGCCAGTCTGGCTGGAGGGAAAATTGGGGGGGGGGGGGGGGTACTTCCCCATTTGGTGGGCCGCATACCTCTCATCAATGAGGTGGACATCGCATGGCTGAGCCGTTGACCGCCGCGAACCCTTGGCTGCCCTCTCAATATTTTAACACATTCCTGGTTTAACTGGCACTGTAAATGAAATCAAAGCAAAACGGTTCCCAGAGCATTTGACATGATGAAAACATTGGTGCTTTTAAAAGATAAAATACGTCCTCCATCTTTTGTGTGTCATTACATTCCTTGTAAACTGGAAAGCTACTCAGGTGTAAAATGATTCATGCTTGTGTTAATTGCTTCCTGTTCCTTTCAGGGGCATCAACCCAGGCCATGGTTCACGGCTACGGGGTGCCCAGCAGCACTCCAAGCATTGCAGAGCAATCTCTCTCCCCCGCCCAAATGTATGACCTCCCAACACAACAACTCCCAGGATCAACATCTCAATTGGTGGATATGTCGCCTCGCCCCCGATGTTTGATGGGGCACTTCATTTAGACTTGCCACTTTTTGAATGGCATAAACTATTCATACACTGAGCTTATGATAGGTACTTACTTACAATGTTCAAACTTTCTCCTTTAACTTTCTTATAAATCTAATACACTAATGACAGGCCCTTACTTCATGTTTTAGTAGTTAAATGGGGCTATTTTTATGGATGTGCTAACTAGTATTATTGTAGTAAAATATCTGTTTTTGAGATGATGAAGAATTTATCTTTTTTGCGTAGCATGTGTTAAAATGACACACCTGTTCGACTTAGTGTGATGCTTGTTATCGGGTGACAAATTTCATACTTTCATTTTAAGGTTTTGCGTTTTTAGCTTCAATGTAAGGGTTTTCTTTCCTGCAGATGTATCTGGTGCTGATGTCAGAACTGAAATCTTGTATGGAGGAGACATGAAGCAAAGTCTACTCAAGGAATCAGAGTTGGCTGCACTTGAAAGCCTGCTCAAGCACACGCATGGCTGTGATTATTACAATTATGATGGATGCGAATTATAGGTAAGACGCCATCTTCATGCTATGTAGTTAATAAAACTTTCTTTAAGTATTTACCTATGAAAAGGGAAAAAGAAGGAAAAGCAGACTTTCTTTTTTTGTTCTGCCATAAATTTGTCCTCTTCTTTGACTAAGCCAGCATCATATGCTTTAAACTCTTAAATATAATTTAAAAGCTGACTCTTTCTGAATGACTTTTGTCCAAACATTTAAGGGGCCAGATAGATTTTACTTTGTGTTCGACTAAACTGTCTTTTCCTACATTAAAAGATGAAAGTCATACTGTTTCTGCCCTTTGAAGCCCTACTTTTACCAGTGCTGATAAAATTTAAAGAATATTGCTTAAGCAATATTCTTATTGAACAATTATTTGGGCTTTTAGGCTTCAAGTTGTGATGTACAAACATTGTAGTACAACTACAACTGCATACTTGGCGTCTGTTTCATTCTTGGTAGTAGACTTCGGTGATTGTGTGAATCAAGTTTGGCTGTTATTGAAAAATATTATTTGTATATCGTATTTTTCATTGGTATGAAGTTTAGATTTTTAAAGTGTTAATGTTGTCTGTATGTACTGCAAATCTTCAAGTAGTCTATAAATGTTGACCGGAGTTTGTATTTGTTTTTGTGTATTTTTTGTGAGTTTCTTTGCCCTTCCGAGGGGTCCTTAATTGTGTAAGTAAACCTGGTACCTGCAGTTTGGTATACTATGTGGATTATTCCTTTACTTTTGTATTTGATGCAAATAGTTCTGGGAAATCTGGACGTATTTTGTAACAGGATCTGGTTTAGAGGTTGTGTGATACTTTTCTGTTGCCTTGCACCCTAGTTAGATGTTTGCTACTTTATTCATATCTTCTCAAACTGTCTTCCATATCTTTAAATGTTATTTTGTATGGTGACCCAAATGCGACTATGATACAGATGTATCCCTAAAATGATGTAGAAACGGTGATATGTCCACTCTTTGATAAGCAAAATGGACCTCACACATAACTAAATGCAGTATACTGCAACAAGAGTGCATGCTTTGCATTTGTGTTAAGATCTCTGTAAAGAAGGTAATCTTGAGTCAATGTTCTGTTGTGAAACAAGTCTCATTGTTAATAAGAGACATGTCATTTCAAAATGATTGCTTTGTTTTAGTATTGAATGGAATTGGTATTTTATAACCAACATAGACTGTACTTACAAATCTTGGTTTGTGTAATAATTTCAATCTCATTCTAAAAGGCAGTAGTAATGTGATGCAAACAAAACTTGTGTAAATTCATTGATAAAAATTGTGTGCTGTAGTACATTTTCCTACAAGCACTTTTAATTCCTGCAACCTGCATATTGTACCACAGGAGCTTTGAAGGTTTAGTTTGAAATTCCTGTCTTTCCAGAGTTTTGTACAAATAAATTTGAAGTTGATACACTGGTCATTTTGATGCAAATTAAGAACAATCCTTTGTACATTTATTGAAATGCTCAACCAGGTCCATGCTTTTGACTACACTTAACATTAAAGATATCACATTCATTCTATGATCACAAAATAAAACACAGATCTTAGTAGAGAAGAATAAGTATTTCAAATATCATAAACTCCATGTAAAAAAAAAATAATAGAAATCTACTTTTTCATTCTCGGGCTGTCTGCACCTAATGCAATAAAAAGTTTTGACTTTCTCCTTACTGGATTTTCATCTCAAGTTGCACCAACAGCTAAAATGCAGTAATTTCCAACAAGTTGTAACAGCAACTTTCCAGTCCATTCAGTTAAGAAACATAAGCTTACAAAATAAGCTTGATTTAAATCATGGGATTTGTAAAATATTAGAAGCTACCGTAGTCAAGCAACCTATCGATACACAATAAGAAACAATGATAATAATAAAAATAACAGGACGAGTCCTTGATTGGATTGTTATTGATGAGTATTAGAATTTAACTTATACTGTATTGGTTTGGGTCCATGGTAAAATATGTCCAGTTGAGAAGTTTCATCCAGCTGGCTTCAGTTTAGAAACAGAATATCTAGGTACTAAATGAACACATCTCAATCCTCAAATATCAAGTTGTTGTTTTTCTTAGTTATCTTTTTTTTTTTAAGAAAAAATCTAAAAAGGTTACCGATAATTAATCATTAATTTTGAAAAACTATCATAACACAACACAAGAGACTAGAGATCAAAGTCATTTGACTGCTGAATACTCAAATTTGTAACACTCTCCACACATTTGGCTAAGGAAGGCTTCACTAGCAAGTTGATAGACTTCTTAAGAACCAAAAGTGATGAATTTCAATTGATAGTATGTTAACACCTAGTGTCACACCTCATAACAATTATTAGGTGAATTGTAATAAATGATCACAGTCCTCATAAGTCATAAACTCTCCACAAATCACATCTAATAATACAATAAATCAATTTAAGCATAACAAACTGATTCAAGGGAGGCATGTGAAATTTTTCACTCCTCCAAATACAATCTATGTACTCAGAAATTCTCCTGAATATGTAACAGGCATATGTTTCTCCCGTAAATACCTTTACTTAAAAATGTAGTAACATATATGGCTGGAATGTTATTAATCTGTATAGATACTGTACTGCATAAAGTTTTTCCTTTTTTTAAACACACACACACATATACACACGCACACACAACAGGCAGTTTAATGGGAGTATGAACTGGTAAAAGTACCTATATTGACCCTGTCTATCAAAATGACATAGGACAAACCCTGACGAAAAGGCTAAATGGCTTATGGAATTAAGCTCCATTCCATTCCAAATAAGTGAGGATACAGGTCAAACAAAAGCCCTCCAGTTATAACTGCATTCACAGATTTGGACTTGGTGGCAATACCTTAATCAAAGAATCTAAGTATCAAGAATGACTGAGCTCAGGGAAAAGTTCCTCAATTACCAGGTCTAGCAAAACATACAAGAGTTGCTTGTTTAATTGAGGAGACTGAACTGCGCAAAATGCCCCTTTACAAGCAGGAGCAGCTAGCTTTGCCAGCCAATATTTGGAACAAAATTGATCTAATTCCCTACCTGCCCGTTCTTCAATCTCCATAGAATTCCAGTGCGCACTCTTGCTGTTGAAAATAGCACCTGAAAATATGGAATTACCTGCTTAGTATGATACGTAAGGTGGTTCATTCATGTTTTCCTGAATTTGAGTCTACAAGGCTACTAACCTTGAAGTAAATGGGTCAGGTGAGCAAGACGAGGAGCTACTAATAGAGTTTTGAGAGCACGTCCAACAAAGTATGACAGAATAGCATCTAATGTACTGCCTATTAATGCCTGAATAGACAGTGCAACACGAAGAGATGATTTAGACATATTGTAGACTACAAGGCCTGTTGAACAAAATCAGGAGAAAAATGAAAAGAAAATCCATGTAAATAGATAGTATAGTTACACATAAAGGACATTCTGACCAACCGATATGTATAAGTGAGCTGGTGAAACCCCCTTGCTGGATGATAGGGCCCAATAGAGGAGAACACATGTTTGTTCTGCTCGAATCCACAGAACATGGAGCTGATTCCTCTGTGAGATTAAAGTTATTTTGAAAAATAGGCCCAATAATATTTCGGATATCACGAACAGGTGGGCTTTCCTGACTAACATCTTTATATTCGAGTTTGCTGCAATACATTTTCGAAAAATTAAATAATATTTGAAGATACAAGTACAACAATTTATTACCCGGGGGGCATTTTTTTTTACCTAGTTTTCTTCCCTTCTGTAGAGGAAAAGAATCCATTAAGAAATGGCTCCAAATGTTGGCCTCGCTCTTTCCTTAAAGTCAGTGGGACAGTTCTTCTCAAAAGGCGGCTGAGAGCATCTGGACTTGAATTCATTTCCGAAAATTCCCCAGGAACACGAAGAAATGCAAACAACAAATCGCTACCTCGAAGAGAAGGCTTTGACAGCAGCTTTTTTAAATAGTCTTCAAACACCTGAAAATTAAGAACAACACACAAGTTTAAATGTAGACTGTAGAGAGAATAGATATAATTTTAAAGGAAAATAGAACGTTTAATAAAGCATAGTTTTACCTGTTTGCGACTTTCTAAAAACTGAGCACTTGGAGCTGAGAACAAAAGCATTCTTCTTGGTGGTAGCTGGTTATCAGGAAATTCCCCATGAAATTCAATTAACTTTGCTTCTAAAGCATAAAAATCATTGTACCTTCTCTCTACCTTCCAATGACTTTTTTCACTATCATCTAAAGTGAAACAATAAAACAAAAAATAATTGTACACTGTTAGGTTTAATTGCTAAAACCTACTGAACTTTCAAAATTGTAAGTACACACCTTCTTTTAAGGCATCAACCTTTTGGATTTCTATGTAAAATACAGAATATGGTTTGCTGCTTGCATCAAGTTTTGTTTTAACCGCAGGAATTGAGACACTCCACACACTCAAATTTCGATCTGTTGAGTCAGATAACTGCAAGTCCTCTGCCTAGAAATTAGCACTCTTATTAAAAATTTTGTCAACATAAAAAAGATTTCCTCTAAATGACATCACAAAATTTGTTTCCTTACATATTCTGAGTCAACAAGATCAATTCCAGGATCTGAGTCAAAAGTGTGACCTTCCACTGGTCCTCGCAATACCCCTTTTATTTTGTGAAGCCGACTGCTGATACGGGCAACAGCACCAACATTTTCTGTGGGTCTTCTGTTTGGTCTAGAAAATCAGGGATAGGTGTTTCCATTAAACATTAACATTAGTCAAAGAACAAAAATGCACATCATATTTAAGAATTTTATGGTTAGATGCATGTGTGTTTTCTACTCTTAATTGATGACAACTTAATTGTGCTACAATACTTTCAAAGTGGAACAAAGTATAAACTGCTGCATTCAGAACTAATTGTACCACAAAACCCTCTCACCTGTTCCTAGCTGGAGATCCCTGAGATAAAGGGGAGCTACACAAACATTATGGATAGCAAATTAATGTACTGTTTCCCCAATACAGATATTATTTCATTTTCAGGAGCTGTAACATTAGTACACTGGTGGTTTCTTTTATCTTACCTTGTTCCTGAACGCACGCCTGTAGTAAGAACTCTGGGTCCAGCTAGCCACCTGAAAAACTAAACAGGAAAAATATTATAATATATCTTAAAATAAACAATATTAAACTTAAAGATAGATATAAAAAACAATAAAAAAACAGTAATAGTGTCTGAAGTGGAAGAGATCCAAAACAATCACAACAAATTATCATTTCACCAACCCATTTCCCTGTGCAGGAGAAGAAAGCAAACGAGAAACAGACCGCCCACCACTTTAAGAAACAGGACTCCTCTTTCTTATGACCACCCTTTACAACAGTTCACTTTTATGACATGGACATATGGACATTAACATGGGATCACTATTTATTAAAATTCACAAACATAACATGCCGCTTGCCCACTATATTTCACAGCTATCATTTTACTCCCTACAGTCTTCAACAATAATAATTTATGTCAAAATACAGTCACAAAAGCACAAGAACCAGGAAACACTTATATTGCGGTTGAACATTTATTCAACATACAGTGTACCGTAACCATCTTGTGGGCTTCCGTCCAAATGGGTGCTTGAGATTGTTTGTTTGCTTTCCACTCTCACAATACAAACTTATAACCTGCAACGGTCATGAAATGGAAGATCTTTTCCCACAACTAAAAAAAGGGTTCTTTCAGTAAAATCAACTTGTACAATGTGCACTTCACCACTGTCGTCTTTAAAGATACAGAGAAAGAGAGAGAGGTATATAGAAGAGGCCGACATGCAGCGAATAAGAGAGGTGAAGGCTTTAACAAGTTATCAAGCGACGGCGATGCCAGCGTGCCAGCACACCACCTTAAGCTCAACAGAAGAAGATCAAAAGGTGCCAAACATAGGACAGTTACTTCTTTCTATAGATCTATAGAACTGTAGGTGGAATCTGTAGTTATAGAGAACTATAGATAGAATCTTCTTTTGTTGAGCTGACGCTGGTGTGCCAGCATTGCATTAGCTTGATAGCGCCGAAAAGAGTGAGGAAGACATAAAAAAAATGATTTAAAAAAAAATGAAAGTGGTGGAAAAGCAATACTCACATCATCACTTGCATGAAACAATGGGCATAATTTATTCTCTAATAAGCGGTATGCATGATTGATGGCTTCAAATAATGGTGGAGAGGTCCGTAATTTGCCGACATCTTCCGTCAAAACTTAAAAAGAAAGCAGCCAATAAACAAACTTTCATCACAGTTTCAATATTATCCATTATTTAGCACAATACATCTTATTTTACCTTCTTTCATGCTGTGGACTATATCAGAGGGCAGGCCAATATTGTCAGGAGACTCAGGATTAAAATATACTGAATAAAGATCCATGGCATCTTTGTACAAAAGTTCTTTCTCCTCAGAACTTATATCTGGTGTTAACATTTTTCTGTTGAACTCCTCTATGTAACAAAAGAGATACAGCAAATAAAATAAATGAATTCAAAAAACAAAAACGATTAGGGGAAATAAATCAGTAGCAGATATGAAACAGATCTTACCAACATCCAGGCAAAACTGTAATATATGGACTGATCTCTCTGCTTTCAAAAACTGCATAAAAGCATACAGTAGTTTTTGATTGTTAAGAATATTTGACAAATCAGGATGAAGGGCCTTAAATGCAAATCATAAAAAATTATTGCTCAGCAAGACCAATTCAACTTAAAAAAAGAAACAAAAAAAAACAACAACAAGATATCAACATCAATACTCACAGATGAATATTTTGGACTATAATCAACAAATTTTTCAAGAAATTTTACTTTTGGTTCATTATCAACATCCTTGTACTGCGTGAGTTGCTGATGGCCAAGTAGTAATAAGAGAAGGCTATTTAATATGGAGGGATCTGCCAGCACATCAGCCAAAGGTAAAAGAACCCAGCCAGCTATTAGTTCTCTCATTAACGCATGGAAATTCCTGGTTTGAAAAAAGTTTCATTTCAGCCCAAAAGTTTTATTATGAAAAAGAAGAAAACATAATTGAAACTAGTAACATATTACGAACTGGCATTGAAGTTGTGATTGGGCAACTAAACTTGGCAGAACACATTCTGTGATCTGACGAAGGTAATCAAGCTCCCTATCCCGATTGAAAGTTGCAGGATGGAGTCTTGTGCCCAGGTGCTGAACAGCTGCTCTCACAAAAGGAATTCTCTGGTTTTGTGACATTTCACGTATAATTAAATAGTCTTCTAAGTGATTCACAGCAGCTGGTAGTAACTTCACAAAAATTGTTTCTGCTAAATTAATCTGAGGAACAAGAAGTAAGTTTAATATATGTGATCTTATACAACTGTAAGAATAAAATAAATCTCTTTAACCTGTAATCCTCGTTGTAGGACAATGGTACATGCACGTCTAAGGCAGTGTCTAAGCTCCAACTCAAATGCTTTGTCACTAGAAATTTGAGAATACCATGACTCCACAAAATCTTGAAGTATTCTATTCAGTAACTATAACAAAAAAGATAGTTGATTAGAAAAATGTGAGCCCTATACACACCTTATATCTAATAGAACTCAAGAAATCATTACACTTTCAATAGATTCATCAAGCTCTGCATTAATCATAATCTCTCCATGGCGTATTGCTTCATATAGGGGTTCTTTGCTTCGGTTGCAAGACCCATCACCACATATATTGCAGCCTGTAGTATTCTGGCACTTTTCATTCTGGCACTTTTCGTTTGTAGAATTTTCTCCAGTAAAAATACTAAGTAAATTCCCCACGGCAACCCTTTTTCTGAAATGAAAACAGAAACAATGGTACCTGAACTCACACCGCAGCTATCCAACAACCATACGAAACTAATGGTTCAATACTCACTTTAATAAAAAGTAGAAGAGTGTGACACCCAGAACGTAAGTTCCCAAAACAAAAACACCCAAAATGAAGCTGTAAAACAATAGAACAGTAAGTTATTTCAAGAGTAATCTTACACTGAGTTATTTTGAAATAAGATGGGACCAAACACTTCCTTTAATAATACTATTAAATTAGAAGAAGACTGCAGGATTGACAACAGAAAAATCTTTCTAATGGGCCTGCATAGAACTTTTTCAAAACCAATTGGTGAGATATTTTTGTAGAATTGTGGTACCGAATCAGTCAGAAAAACACAAATTGGTATCATAACCTTCTACATTTGATACCAACAACGTACCTTGTGGTTATTGCCAGTAACGCAGAGAGTGAAAGAACAATTCCAAGATTAACACACGCAAGTGTATCACTTATGGTCACGTATGCAATTTTTTTGGCCTCAACATCCATTTTTTAAGGTTTTTGAAGGCTACAAGTCGTGTTCTAAACACATTTTTGACATTTCCTTGCTCCTTTCCGTACTCTATCACTCTATCAATAGCACAAGTAGATTAACATCAGCCTACCAAGCTGAAAGTACTAGCTTACGAGAGATGAGCTATTATTGATTGTATGAAAAATTTGAACAATTTACAAAAATATGTTTTTATATCATTTTAACCTTGTTCCTCCAAATATCTAAAAGTATTTTCTTAATTTCGTTACGGTTGCAAGGTTTCCGGCAAACTTTCAGACAAACAGTAATTTTCTCTGTTTTAATTTTAAAAAATAGTTGGAGTGAATAGCCTCATATCCCGAGTGCTCAGCGAATGTGTATTTGATTTGAACGTTCCAGTATCATCAACCGCAATCTCTTGTCTGTTTGGTCTCGGTCGGTAGTTTCGCCCGGTGTGGCGTCCGTTCTGTAGCGATCTGATGTTGATTATTTTTATTTGAAGAAAGTGGCAGAGATCTCTTAAATTTTGATTGGAGCGTCAGTACTTTATTAGAGGGAGTCATGGCGGAGTATCTGGCTTCAATTTTTGGAACGGAGAAGGACAAGTAAGTGGAACCTTCTAGCAGCACTAGTTTAGTTATCATCACCCTTCTCCTGTTAATTATCCTTAATATCTTTCCGGAGCCGCCTAATTGGCCCTGTTAGTAATCTGAGTATTCTAAGATTTAAATATATTGTGCATTCCATTGCTTAGATTTTTGCTCCGCGCGCTTGTGCTAATGTTGTTACCAGGGTTTAGAGAGGTTAGGGTTTCTGTTCACTCCGGTTGATATCATGGTATAAATGTGCTGTGTGCTGCTGTTAGTTTTTCGTATAATATGATTTTTCTCCCTGCAATTCAGTTGCTTATTGTTTGACCTATTATGTTTTGTTTTTAGGGTCAACTGTTCCTTTTACTTCAAAATTGGTGCATGTCGACATGGTGACAGATGCTCTCGCATACACAACAAGCCAACATTTTCTCAGACAGTTCTACTCCAAAACTTCTATGCAAACCCTCAGAACTCTTTAAAGTCAGCTGATGGATCTCACTGTAAGTATAAGTAGGACTGATCAATCTTCTTAGTTATCGAAATATTTTATAACTAGTTTTGATTTCTATCTTGCTTTCTTTCCCAGTGGTTGCCAATGTATCTGATGAAGAGATGCAGGAGCATTATGATAACTTTTTTGAAGATGTGTTTGTAGAGTGTGAAGACAAAGTACGTACAATTTCCTCAAGTTTTATTGACTTAATCTAATAATGCATTATGTTACTGATCTCTTGTTTTTATCAAACAGTACGGAGAAATTGAAGAAATGAATGTTTGTGACAACCTCGGAGATCATCTTGTAGGCAATGTGTATATCAAGGTAAATAATTTGTAGAAAATCTCCTGCTATATTTTATAGATCTTATCTATTCTTAAACAAACTGTCACATTAACACTTGCAGTTTCGGAGAGAAGAAGATGCAGAGAAAGCTGTTAATGATATGAATAACAGATGGTTTGGTGGGCGGCCAATTTATGCTGAGTTAACTTCCGTGACAGATTTTCGTGAAGCGTGTTGCCGTCAGTATGAAATGGGGTAAGGGCAATTTTTTCTGATGGATTTCTTTGTTCTTAGTTTAAATACATGCATTTACAACCCGTTTCCTTTTTTTAGTGAGTGCACTCGTAGTGGATTCTGCAACTTCATGCACTTGAAACCTATCTCACGAGAGCTGCGCCGTTACCTCTACAGTCGCCGCAAGAAGGGAAGAAGGTTTGTACAAAATCTCTGTCTCTACCGTGGAGGCGTAACGATAACGCACTAAACCATAAATAAAATTGTAATTAAAAGCATCGTTAAAGCGTTTTCAGCTTTCATAGAGCGCTTTACGTGAGAATTGGAAAATTTTCAGAACTGCTTCAGTAATTCAATTTTATTTTCCTATATCATGCATTACTTTTACGTGTTGGTTTTACGCCCTGGTTGCTACACCCTGTATTTGTTCCGTACGGATGGTTTTCTTCATGCTGTGCATCTGCTGTTGCAGGTCTCGTTCCCGCTCCCACGATCACGTTGGCTCGCGCCGCACTCGTTCACCTGAGCCACGCCGCCGCTCCAGGTCGAGGGACCGAGGGGATCGCAAGCGTGACCGGGATGGTGGCCGAGGAGGAGGTGGCGGTGGTGGCGGAGGTCGCGATAGAGGTGGTCGGGACCACCGCGAGGGTCGGTCAGGCCGGTACTGAGCTCACTCAACGCATCATTCGTATTCGTCTTGGTAGGCTGAGGACAGGAAAGGCATGAATATTTCTTACATGAAAAGCATTTTGTAAGATTCCATTTGACTCCATTTCCGTACACTAGTATCATGCTCATCAATTTGTCCTTTGTGTGGGGGGACACTGTGTCAAAGACATGTGTGTTTTTTTTTTTTGTTTTTTTTTTTTATCGAATATGAGCGTATTTTTTTTTAAAATTGAATATGAGCATTTTAAAATCATGTGAAAAAGGAGTCTCTCAGCATATAAGAATTTTTAACCATGTTTGAAGAGTGTTTACAATGATTCCCAACTTGTCATGGAAGTGAGTGTTCCTTCCAACACTTATTACCTAGCTTTTATCTTCTGATTCTTGTTTACTGCATAAATTGCTATTGTGGTTGTCATGAATTTATGTGTTACACCTTGCCCCATAGCTATCAAATTCAACATAAAAGAGCACAGAAATTATATATCATTGTACGTTTAGAAAACTGAGCTATTAATAAAATAAGTAAGACATTCAACTTAAGAGCATTCTGTGGAATTTTATTCAAAGCCGGGGTGCTGTTGGATGAAAAGTTTTCGAGAGATTGAAGATTTAAACAAATTTTCCTACGGACCTACGTCAAGACGATAAAAAACAGGTTTCCCGGTGCGTGAGCAGAACGCCCAATTCCGGATCTGTTCAGTTTTACTACAGTGATCTCCAGGCAAAATCTGGGCGCTGTGGCTCCAATACTTTGGGAGACACAGCCAATTAAAGTTAAAATTTTGGACGAACTACGACTAATCTCCCCACTCATTTGGCGGGGCTGAGCCCGAGCGGCAGCCGCCATGGGTGACTCTTATATCAGAAACTTTATTCCCAGCTCAGTGCACTTGTCTGGTAGCGCATAGTTGGTCGCGCGCCGTAACACGGTGTCGGTTCTACTTTTTCAGAGATATTTCTACTGATTTCTTTTAACATTGGGGATCAGGACTCACGGGGAATGTTCCATGCTACGGCGTAGTGGTTACCATTCTGGTTTACATTGTGACACTGAAAGATGACGAGACTCGGCTCTGGAACCGAAGTTCGACTTACGGCGAAAGCGGGCCGTGGGAATTCCCTGGCTGGGTTCTGACTTGAACGAAAAGCGGGTGTAAGCAAGCGGTTCCCTTTCCCTGGCACCTGGCTGTGGTGGCGGGTGCGTCTATAAGAACTAGGAATCTAGCTCTAACGGAACTCCATGACCTCCAACTGTCCCCCCGGGAGTAGAGGTCTAGACAAACTTATCTTGGCAGAAAGATTTCAGTCCGCGCCAGAAGTGCAGCCCTACCCGAGCCGACCCGCAGCCCGAAAGCGCACCATGTGGCCCGGGCGGGCCGGGGGTGGCCTATTGTCAGGCATTCTGAGCAGTAGCAGGGCAGGTACTTGCCTTCTGCTTACTTTACACCCTGGAGGCTTCGGTTTTGATGATGCCCTATAAAGGATGTTCTACAGTCGGTTCAGATATAAAGCTGCTCTGGCTCCTTGTGCCTGCAAATTGTTTGTGATTAATTTGGAGAAATTATGACGAAGCATTAGATTCACATAATAATTTATTCTTTTCACTACCTAACAAAATATCACTCATTTGATGGCTTTCTTTCAATGTCCTTTGTTTAAAATGCAGGTGAATGCAAAAAACAATTATCATAGCAAACTATTATTATGTACAAAATTTGTGTCAGCTGTAGGATGGACTTAGGAACCACTATCTTTGCATTTCTGAAATGAAGATACCGTAATTGGGTAATTAAAGTTAAATACAGATGCCAAGTAAAGTTTTTAGGATGACATGTCCTTTAGTTTACAAACCAAAAGAATAACGGCGCCGGAAAATATGCACATTGGTTCACATACTCAAATGTCTGAATTATGCTAATTTGACAGAAACAGAAGGTACCTCCCACATCCTGGTTTACAGTTTACAGTTAATATCACTGTTCTGCGACGTGAAAGGCAAATTTTCAAATTTTGGGAGAAAGATCCAAGTTAAAATGGTAAATTGTGTAAAAACAAGTCTTTATTACAACAACCAATGATTCTAAAATATATGCAAGATATCTTGTAAATATTTCACCTTTATGACTTTTTTACCACCCTACAGTTCAATACCTAGTCTGCTTCTTACAAATCAATTACTTTTTCCATCATTTAGATGTTTTCAATACTGTACATTTGTGCTGGAGTACTTGCATTTCAAAGAAAGAAAACCTTGTACTAAATCAAATTTGAAAAGTAAATAAAATAGTAAATCATATCTTATTCTTCCTCTTGCATAAAGACATATTTCTTTATTTGGTCTAATTTATATATCATTTGGCCTTCTTGTGTACAATAAACATTCACATTTTCTAACATATTCCCTAACATTTAATATTTGTATCACAGACTGATAGTTTCACACATCTCTCTGGTTTTGTCAGAACATTTCTTTACATTTCTACACAAATGATTTAAGTTCATTTTCTAACTAATCAAATATGAAGCACAAACCTAGCGTACATTTGATAGAATCATATTTTCTTTTACTATAGATGTGCATCATTTCATGCATTTGACATTCATAGTTAGATATTGAGAAAGATCTGACACCAAGGACCATGTGTTTGTCATAGCTAGCCCGACATGCCAATTCTGGAATTCATAATAAATAGGAATTATATTCAACAATAACAACACTTCCTAATAATTTGAAGTACTCTCTAAAATAAGGTCTGAGAAAACTATGAGATTTCAAGAAAAAAGTTCAAAAGACTTGACATGAAACAATAATGGTGCCC